AGCATAGATAAATGTCTTCTTCCCTGTTATCATTAAATACGTATCATATTTACTCTATCAGAAAGACAATTATTAACAAAATGTTCTTATCAAACAAAAAAAAGAACTAAAAGAATGTCCAAAATTATGCGATTTTCCTTTACATAACATGACGTTATTATTTGCATAGAGCGGACATAGAAAATTTCATCCGGATTAGAACAGTCCATGATTTTTTCTATTACTACCATTACGTTTTTTGTATTCTCAAATACCAAAGTTTTATATGTCATGTACATATAATTATACAAATATACGTATGATAGCAAACATACAAAAAAAAAGAAAATAATAAAAAAGACAAACAACATCACGACATAATCGATTTACGTAGATAAAAAACAACACAGGAAAATATTAATAAACATTAATTAACGACATAAGTAATTGCAAATTTATAAAGCAATAAATATTCAAAACACAAATATAGTAATCGAGGCATAAAATTATTATTATTAATGTTATTCTTATTATGCAGATTACATCTAGAACATTTATCGAGTGGGTTTTCCATTTGTTTATTTATTTACAAAAAGATGTAACAATTAATTAATTATATAGATACAATTATCATTAATTTCTGTAATGAGAACCCATCACGCGCGATCTCTTCGTTAAAAACGATTTCTTTGTTTTCTTCTCTTTGATCAATGCATAGATCGATCAATCGATAAAGGCGATTTACTAAATATAAATCGCCATTTTTACAAGTCAGACTGACCAGGACCTAGAACGCAACACAAAAATAATTAAACACTTAAAATTATTAAAAAGAAAAGAAAAAAGAGTACTTATCTGCATTTGATATCGTCATGACTTTTTTATTAATACGTAACACAATACCATAATCATTTTCCAAATACAGAACACAATGTGGCATAGCATAAGTGTTTAATAAAAATTTTAAAAAACTAAAGAAAACAGAAAAGGAACTCTGTCAAATACTACTTCACAAGTACATAAAGCATTAGGTGCATGTATTAGGTACACATATAATAAGTATATAAGGCACTAACTGTTAGGATATTTGAAAAGCATACAACAAAAAGCATGCACAACTATTTTGCGAGTAAAAATCAGGTGAAAGTGATGTATTTATTTGTGAATAAGCAGGAATTAGTGGTATGATTTTATTTGAATTAGGTATTTATTTTTCTCTTGAAGCAAACTACACCTTTTAATCATTTAATAAGTGATTGAAATTACTTGAAATTGGAATACGAATTATTCAAGTGAAATAATTAAAAAGCTCATGCCTTTGCGAGGACCAAATGTAAATAATAATTAATTATATTTGTTGTTAAACAAGATAGTGTTAAATCTATTATTATTATTATTATTAATAATATTATCATGTAGGTACCAAAGCTAAATCCCAAAAAACATAAAAACAAATAATGATAACAAATAAATGATTAATTATTGGAATGGAAATACAGCGTTTCTAGAAAAAATGTTTAAATAATAACTGTGTAAGTTGTAAAAACGTTGCGGTTGATATCAAATGCATACAAATACTCCTCAATTTCATAGAGCTTTAATACATCAATTATTAATTAATCAATTATGTCATCGTTATTCAGGTGGAGTTTACTCCAAGATGAAAATAAAATGTTTTATTGCTGGTCCCGCAATTTCCCGAATACAACAATAATTTTCAGGAAACGAGAAACCATTCGTTCATTTAAATACGCCTACCAAATATGCTACAGCTCCAAAAAAATCGCTGTGGCTAGAAAGCCTTTTTCTTGATAAAGGTCCGGGAAATTATCCGTAACGTCAAACGTGGGAGATCGCACCTGATCGATAGGTAATAGTCGCGTATTACAGGCACAAGGAATGTATATCGGTAGGGGATTGGAGGGGAAAGTCCAGTAAAATAAGTAAACATGAAAAACTGCAACTTAGTATAAGTATACAGTGGATTTCGGGTATGACGACGACAAAGGGATCATTGTAATTTCGTCGTTATATCCGGAAGTCCTTAAAGGCAAATGTAAAAATATACATACTTGTATGTATGGTTTTCACCATTTTTCAATTTTGAAATAACGTTTGCTGTTTTTTAACAGTAAATGTACATCTAGGAGTCATACTTATTCAAAAGTGGCTAACATCTAACAAACGGTAGAGGTCACCACCCTTGCTCACCATTTGTATGCATGTAAACAAAAGATAAGAAAGCTCTTAGTGTCTTTAGCGGCCGACTCCGTTCGCTATATCTGCATGGGATTACAAATGATTCATTAGATATAGTCGTTACACCCGAACTCGACGTTACATCCGAAGTCGCTATAGCCACATGAATTTTGTACTAAAGTATGCTTTAAATTCAAGGGACTTGGATTTAACGTCGCTATAACAAAATGATCGCTATAACCGAGGTCGTTACAAATGAAATCCACTGTATCTCTAAAAAAATTGTGTCGGTTATAATTTAATAAAAGAAGAAAGACGCAAGTGAGAGAACAGGACATCATAACGATAGGTTGATTGATTGGATTTTGTAGTCTAATCTGTGGATTCCTTGGATTGTGTAGGTAAATGCTAAGACACCTTTTAAATTATCAAAGGGTATCGACTTGCTCAACTGAATTGTCATCAAAAGACGCCATGAACGATTTCCCAACCTTATATCAAGAACCGTTAACGACTTTCTAGCCACTTCGAAAAAATTACTACTTCACATCGACGGTAATAAAAAAAAGAAACCAATTCGCACAAAAATATATATTTATACTGGAATTTGGTACCTCTTGTGATACGCAGGTCCCGGCAAAATTTCGAATTGATTGTAATTTAACAATCCCACTCCTCAATTGCCTCAAGAGGCGCTGGCAGCCTCATTTTGCTGTGGGGGATTTGGAGGGACAGGGCTGGGATCGTTTAGGATATTTTTCGAACTTAAAACTCTAGGACATTTGATTGTAAAACCCGTAATCGAACCAGTCTTGTTTGTGGCAGTGTGCTCTTGTATGAACTTGAACACTTTCGATGGCAGAATGTCGTAAGAGAAGTCGCAGGAATGATCTGGGTCTCCCCAGGAATCGTAATACTGCATGTACTCTGCAGCATTAGAATAAAATTCCTGGGGAGTGTGTATGGCAGTCGAGTCAGCAGTACAATTAGTTACTGGCGAAAGGAAATTAACCACTTCGTCTGGAGATTGTTGGAAAACATCCACATCTTCTTTGAGAATTTTAACTGCAGCCGCTTGAAGCTTCTCCATGGGCATTTTCTTGAAAATTTTCGCTTGTTTCTTCATTAAAAGGCTTTGAACTAATTCGTTAACTAGGCCTTCGTTTATGACCGGCGAAGCTGGTGAGTTTATTCCGCTTTCGGAATCTAAAGCGTTTGTTTTTAGTGGTAAATCTAAATGGTCTCTATTGATGTATAAATTAGCCGAATTGTTGGTTTCATGGGCTAACCTTTCCGCCTCGTCTTCGGCTTCGATCTCGTCTTGAAGTAATTTGAACAATCTTGAATGAGTCGATGCGCGTTGATATTTATTCATTTTTCTTAAATTCGGAAAATCTTGATCAGCTTCGTGTTCCGAAACGTGTTTGCTTATATCCGATGTGACGCCCGAATCTATTTCTTCATCTTCTACTTCACTGCACTCTTCAAACGACTTAACACTATTCTTACCAGAAACAGAACTCCGTTTACTTGAATAATTTTCTACGCTTAGAAGGAAGTTGTTTTCTTCAATAGCAGACACCTTGTCTTTGACGGAAATCTTAATTTCTTGATCTTCGTCTCCTTTCTGCCTATTACTTGCTTTGCGGGCATTTTCAAGAGCTTTTATTCGTTCTTTTATGGATAACGGAACGAATTCTTGATCTTTTTCAATAACCGTTTCTATTCTATCTTCATTTTCAGTATTCCTATTGACATCGGTTTGTGTAACGCTACTTGTTGCTATGTACATGGGACTATCCTCTATTTTCTCTTCGATTTTGTTTTCTTCCTCACATTCCGAAACGTTTTCGATTTGTGTTACAAAAGTGGAAGAAGATTCCGTTAGGGACTCACAGTTGAGTTCAGGCGGATCTCTTGAAGATTCAGCTTCTTGAAAACTACTACAATCTGATGTGACCATATCTTCAACATTTCTTTCAACACTATTGTTACAACTGCTAATAGAACTAGAGTTAACAGAGTGTTCAAGAACTGGCTTATTTTGAGATTCTAAATCCTGCTCTTCCATTTCAGGAGAGTCTGCTTTAGAATTATTTGTAGCAGAAATGCTGTTTCTTCGATAAGAAACAACGTCGTCATTAGATCCTATTATTTCAGCCCAAAAATCAACTTCTTCTTCATCATTTGTTTCTTTCTGTGCTTCTTGTATGTTCGTGTCATTTGGAGTACTAATTTGTTTTACTTCTTCTGCATATTCATTTTCTGATGCAGTTGTTTCTGTTGAGGTAACCACTATCTCGGCATTGTTCTTCTCATCGGTGTCTTCTGAAATTTTACCCCACCAGTCGACTTCTTCTTCTGTTTCAGCAACAGAATTAGACACTGCTTTCTCTTGTTTTAATTCATCAAGATTGCTTGTAGGGCTTATAGTTAGTTTTTCAGTTACAGTTTTCGTTTCTACACTAACAACTTTAACCACTGCATCAGTATCTGTCGATTCGTTCTCACACGATACCACGCTGTCTTGTTTAACAAACTCTCGACGTATATTTATGTCACCTCCCTCAGGACTCGTTTCTGAGTGTAGAGCATACTGATCTCCCGATTTTCCTGGGGTTCTTTCCCTGGACGGACTTCTTAACGTAAATGATGTAAACAATTCGCTTGTATGTTCTGTTTGGCTACTAAATTCTTCTTTAATTTCTGAATTTCCAACTGTGGTTACTAAAGATTCGTTTCTATTATCGGAAACCGTGTGTTTCACCTTTAAAGGAATATTAACCGTAACTAGAACTTCACAGAACGAATCATCTTCTTTTTCTTCGTCATCACTTTCCTCAGACTGAACAGCAGTTGTCTCGTCATCGCTGTCACATGTTCGATCTTTATTTACTTTGGAATCGGTTATATCTGTTCTTTCACTCAATTCGTCTATGGTACTTAGAAGATGAGCTTCGCCGTTACAGCACACCGATGAGCGGTCATCTTCATTTACACATTCGGCATCATCTTCATTTTCTGATTGTTCTTCCACGTCGTATGCTTGAACATTTGCAACGGATGGAATAGTTGATAAAGGATTTATTCGATAATTTTGTTCCTCGTCAGAATCACAACTAGTATCGGAATCATCAGAATTATCAGATGTACTAGAATCCAATGTTTCTGCGTTATCTATTCTCGTTTGTTTTGAACCAGTGTTTTCATTATTTTTCGGAGAAGTATTACTAATTCTTAAATCTTTACTGTTTTGTTCACAATTCGATATCACATCATTTATTTGAGAGTTGTTTACTGATTCCCGACCGGAAGAGGTTATTTTGATAGTAGGAGTCTCACTTCTTCCTCTCATAACTGAGTGTGGTCTAGTAGGAGTTTGTTTGGAGCTGCAGGTAACCGTTTCATCCGCAGAAGAATATCCGGAAATGTCTCCATTATCCTCCACGGTTGCCGGCGGGAACATGTAGGGAGAAAAAGCAGGCATTCTCCCACGCATAGGAGGTGGATAAGGTCCATAATAATAAGCGTAATAAGCATAGGGATCCCATATGGGAGGATAGGGGGCGCCATACTGATATGGCATGTGGTGGGGATCACCACCATTGTCATAACCATATTCCGGATTGAATGGAGGTGGTGGATAGAAAGACCAAAAGGGAACAGGTGTACCACGGGGACGAGAACTAAAGTCTTGTTCAAAATCACGTAGGGGGGTAGTAGAACCCTTAAAAACTGACGAGTTTGTATCACTTTCATACTCAGAAGCGTATTCGTTTTCCATGGACGGAGAATAAGGGAAAGATTTTCTTCTGTTTGAGGTTTTTGAAATTCTTTTTTTCCTCCTCAGTTCGACTGTAGGAGTGGCGCAATTTCTACGATCGTAACGCATATCGGGACCGTAGGGATAATAGTAGGGGAAGGGATTATTGGGACCAGGACCCCACTGTTCGTATGAGGAGGGGTCGTTCGTATAATTTTCGCTATCCGGTTCAGGGTCCGCTACAACAAACGAAAAGACTGCTTCTAAGAAATTGATGTTGATGATGGGTCAACTGTTCCATATTCATCAAATATTGCAGTTTATTACAGTAACAAATCCTTATCATAGTAATATCAACTTATATAGAGAAGAATAACCCAAAACTGACTGAAATAATCGCACAAAAAACGGTAGGCTTAATATGGGTACTTATCTGTTTCTTAATTTTTCTATTAAATCGTATGTAGCATGAATGACCAAGAATTATACAATTTGAAACAATGTATGACTGATAATAATTAGTTAGTTACACCCGGATTCTGTCACGAAAAAATAATAATAAGTGATAACAAGACACATTAGATGAGTTGTCGATTTATCTGTTTATTAGGTTTGTCGGGGTCAAAAATAAAATTAAATGACAGAACATGGGTTTGAACATATAAATGATGTGCTTGAAAGCAATAACACTTTCTTTTGTGTATTTTGGATTTAAGAGTAGTTACAATTTTAATGGGTTCTTTCTATTAAATGAAAAGAAAACGAGAACAGACATCACTTACCACAGTTTTCGGGTGCCGTCATAGCTTGCAAAATCTTGAAGGATCGGCTTGGAATCGCACTTCCGGTGTATTTCTTTGGTTCTGGTACTTTCTGCTCACTCGGAGGGACGTACTTCTTAGGACCATTATTTCCTTTAGGAGAAGAAAAGAAGAAAAAATTATCTACCATTCACCTTGTCCATCTATTTCTTTTACCTTCTATTTGAATAGGAATTGTCCTTTCTCTTGCTTGAGACTGACTCTGGTTCTGGTTTTGATTTTGATACTTGGGTTGATGCTGAGCCTGGGGCTGTTGATGAACACGATTGATCGGTTGTGCGTGGGGAACTATGTATATAATTCTGAATTAAAGTCAACTACCGAAAACCAATTGGAGTGAAATGTCCAAACCAACGATAATCCAAACATAGATTTTGGTTAACTTGTAGTAAGTATTATAAGAAAGATGATTATCAAAAAACAAAACTTTAGCCAAGCAAACTACCTACTACATATTCCTGTTACCAATTTTTTGCCAAAATGAGTAACTACAAATAATAAATTTGATGGATGAGTTGAGTTAACAACTTGGCACGTACTTTCGCAGATACAAACTGTATTTCTTGCGTGTTTATTTTCAAACTGAGAAATAATTGCTATCAAAACAAACACGTTAACCAACCTTTTGGCAATGGTCAAGTATGAATCAGAAAACTTTGCTAATTATTTAGGTTCTCATTACATGAACGTTAGTATGCGTAAGCAAAACGAAAGCATCAAGCGTAAAACCCAAGCGTACCCGAGGAAGGAACGGGATGCCCATCAGTACTGTCTGTCATATTTTGGAGGAGTTTGAAAGCTTTAGATGGAATAGCTGCACCTCTGTATCGAGGATCAACTTCGTTATGCAGGGAGGCATTCTGATCTTCACCTAAAGTTTGTAAGATTGACACTAGTTACAATAAGCGTAAGATGCAGATAATTAGTACTCGATTGGTTAAATTGATAATATATTGTCGTCCGTCACCGATTCAAAGCATATTAATTGAATCCTTATCCCCTAAACGTTTTCCCAGAAATAAATAAATAAATTGTATACCGATTTCATCTAACATCCAAAAGAGTCTCGAAGGAATATGCCCACCCTTATATCTTAAATCCTCATCATCAAACAAGAAATAATCTATAAAGAAAACGCAACATTGACTATGTAAGCACATTTTACAACGTACAACAACTGCAGCTGATGGTCAAATTGTTTAAAAGTATTTATTCAATAACAGTTACCTTGCTTGAACCTGTTCACGAACTCTTGATCGCCATCGTTTAGTTTCATTTGTCTCAGCTGATCGACTGGTACTTGTCTTTGTTGCTGAAATTGTTGTGCCGTTCTAGGAGAGCAGTCGATTGCAGGCTCGTTATCCACATCAACGTCAGTATTTGTCATTTTCTGAAGGACCCTGAACGAATTCGATTGACTTTGCTGCCTGTTATAAGCAGGTCGGCTAATAACAATAAAATTTCGTTAATATTATTTCGATTAACAGCAACGTTGACTCACTTCTCAATTGGAGGTGGTGCTCCAGAAATCTTTTGCACATACGGTCTTTGCTGTTTCTGCACACCCGAAGAATTAGAAGCACCTTCTATTTGAATTGGTATAATTCTAGCTCCTGACGAATCGACCTTGGGTGATTGTTGCTGCTGTGAGCGTCCAGGCTGATAAACGACCCTCTGATCACGCCCTGGACCTTGAAATACGGCGGGGGGATCGTTTACGACCACATTGTTATACTGTGGTGATCCAAAGTCCTGGTTTGGACGATTTGAACCGTTAACGTTGTGGTTTGAAACGAATTTCTGCTGTACCTCCTGTTGTACTGGATGATTTGGTATTATTCTGGCGCCTCCTGGTAATTGCGTGGACGGCTGTTGCATCGGCATGATCCTGGCGCCTCCAGGAAGCTGTGGAGATTGTTGTTGCATTGGAATTATCCTTGCGCCACCTGGTAATTGTGTCGAAGGTTGCTGTGTGGGACTACTGTATTCTACTTCATTATTTTGTTCGTGAACTGCCCATGGTGGTACATCTTTCTGTTGAGCCTTTTGACTAAGCCAAGGAGTCGGTGCTTTATTTAGGTTTACTTTAGGAGAACCTGGACTTTCTGGAGACGTGGGTTGTCTCTGAAGTGGAGGTGGTGGTGATTTTACTTTGGCTGGGATATCTGGAGATTGTTGATTCTGAGTCCTTTGTCTTTGAACTACAAAAGGTGGAGGGCTTGGTTGACTCGGGGGCGTTTGTACTCTATTTTCAAACGACTGAGGTTGTTTTCTCAAAGTGGCAGGCGGTGATACGATATTGTTTTGTGGTTGAGCAGCAGGGGGACTATACGGTGTGCCAATCTGCGGTCTGGGTTTCACTATCTCCGGAGACTGGGGTTGTTGGCTTGAAAGGTGCTCCTGGGGCGCCTGATTTCCCAAGGGATTTAATCCAGAGTTGATATAGTTATCTCTGTTTAATATCGGATCTTGTTTGACAACTGGTCCGGGTGATTTTCGAAGAAGAGCCATCGGATTCTCCGGAATTATTTTGGTCATATCAGGACGTTCATAGTTTTGGGGAATTGGAGAAACGGCGGATTTTCTGTTCGCTTGTTTGTTTGCTTGCATGGGAGGCGGTGGTGGAGAGCCAGCGTGATTCAGAGGTGGAGGTGGTGGTGGTACACCGCCTACAAGAGAATTTTTATAAATTTAAGATGGATGATATTTACATGGTTCCTTTTTTGTACCTTTTCCAAGTTGAGGCATTTGACCATTGGGAAAAACTTGTACTGGCATTGCCGGTTGCATCGCTGCTAATGCGGAAGGAGGTAAAGGACCCGATGGTTGGTTATGCATCACTTGTGGATTTAGTTGAACACCTTCCGAGGCGGCATTCTTTTCTAAACGTCTGGCCATTCTGGGTGACCTAATCTCCGTTAAATCTATTCCGCCTGGTGTATATGTAAAGGGCTTTTTATCTTTTGTCATCATCGCGTTTTGAACAACCAGTGGTGGTTCTGAACTTCTAGGTCCAATCTGAAAAAATTTAATTCGATTTTGGTTTTCTCAAAACATAAAGATGTGAACACCAAAACTAGACTTTTTCCATTGAGGGATTAAAGTGCATGTAATTACGATAAACTTTTTTAAGCATTCACGTACAAATGTGGCAACACAGTATTCAAACAAATAGTTCGTATATGGGAACTATTTATTATTTGCGATTATCGCGGCATTGTCTTTGTACGATAGGACAGATTCGTTGAAATAGAAAATGTACAATTAATATTTGTCGAATAAATTTTTAGTTAGAGTGGTGTTGTGATGTTACTTATTGTATAAGTGATGTAGATCAGTACAAAAGCAGATTCCAATGGAATTTTAAAATTCTGGAAAAAGTGCTACAGACGAAAATGAAATTCCAACATTCACTGCTGATTCAACTACTAATAATAATAATAATGTTTATAAATAACGTAAAGTGCTGGAATGATTGCGAAGTATCTATATCCCAGTTAAGGGGAAGCGTACCCCTTTATGTAAAGGAAGTCCAAGGTAATGGTAGTTTTTGGGTTTATGAACCAAGTGATGGATTTATCGTTCTAAGGAAAGGTGAACAGATTACTCTAATATGCCCAACGCCTAATAAAGATGTGAATGCCAATTATGGTCTAGCAACATGCGAAGGAAACAATATGTTCAATTTTGATGGAAAAAGCCTCCAATTGAGAGATGTCACCTGTCCTCATGGTTTTCCAAAACCCATTGCAAAAATAACAGGTCGATGTTCCGGAAATGGGTTGAAAATTGATGTTGGATTTCAACTGGGAGACAATTACCTTTTGAAGCAGATAACCGTATGTTATAACAACGAAACAAAAGTACCATTGTATGCCCATTTTAGTATGAAAAACTCGGTTTGCTGTTGCGCAACAGGTACATCCAAATGGATCGACAAGGGCACGTTCGGTAACGCCCAAATTCCTCTCACTAGCGTTTACGAAATTGGATCCGAAAAAAGGACCCTCAACCGAATGTTTGGAATTGAATCAAAAAGCAACAAATTCATCAGTAGCCCATCGAGATATTTTACCAAGGGACGGCTTGTTGACAAATGTGATTTTTCTTTCCCTGCTCAGCAAAGAATGACCAACAATTATTACAACACAGTTCCTCAATGGCAACCGTTTAGCAATGGAAATTGGAGGATACTGCAGGAAAACATTAGAGATTATCTCAGAAGATCTAAAAACAAATACAAAGAGCTTCACGTTTATACTGGAACCTATGGAATTGCCAAGTATGAAGCTGCCTGGAGAACTTCAGCGGACTTGGCTTTGTTTATGAACAATTCCGGAAGGAAGGCGGTACTAATACCGGAATATCTTTGGAAAATAGTCCATGATCCGATGTCAAATCGTGGCATAGCGTTTGTCATGTTCAACAATCCCTACGTTGAAGAAACTGTAAAACTATGTACAAATATTTGTGCAAAATTGAGTTGGCTTACATGGGACACAAACAGAAAAGACAAAGGTTACGGATATTGCTGTTCGGTCGACGATATAAAGAAACGAATTCGGAATATACCGCCAATTACCGTTTCAGGAATATTGCATTAACAAGAAGAAGAAATTATACTCCCGTTAGTATCAAATTAGATTGAAATCATTCCATTCGTGGAATTTTATGGTAATTTATTTTCTTTAATCCTGTAGCGGATATAATCGTAACCTGTATAATATTTACAATTTATTAATAGCCGCGTGTGCTGTCTTCCTCGCGAAAGTTATATAATAAGCGAGCACGAGAGCATATCAAATTTCGGTTTCAATTGAGTGAATGTTCAGCTGAGAAATAAAACCATTAAGTAGAACGTAATATTGAAATTACTTAAGTAAATTCAGTGTGGGTTACAACAGTCGTGATTGTCACGCATAAATAGCAAAAAAAAATCGCGCCGGTGCATATGCAAATCATTACTCGTTTGCAGAAAATTCGCCGATAGTCACCTTCACTCTCTCGACAAAGTTAATGATTCATTGTCAGTAGCTACAGGCGTAGACATTTTATTTTTCTGGTACGCCCGTTGTAGTTTGTAATTTGGGGCAAGCTGAGTTTTAATGTTGTTTCTGGCGATCGAAATCTGCCATCTTTAAAAATTTTGATTTATACCGATTTGTATCGTCAAATGTAAGTCTTATTATTTCCATATTATCACGTTCGGCCAGGCAACGAACCATAACAGTGAGAAAAGGTCGAATATTTATACGAAAATAGCACTTCAATGTAAATTTCTGAGAGCTAAGGTACGTTTTCTACGATGCGGTTGTCGCAATCCGCAGTTGCAATAAAAATTGTATTCAGTCATAATTCCCGTGGTGTATTTGAACAGTGTATACGTCAACATCCCTTAGAGAACACTCGAAATAGTCGTAATCACAAAGGTACCATCTGTACCAATTCAGGAGTGGCTAAAACCTCGACTCTAACGTTCCAAGTTGTGAAGTGTCTACTGTCCCGATATTATTTGAAATTAACGTTAAGTAACTTTGACTTTTTTGTTCATATTCTTGTAAACAATGCAAGGGGGGAGGGCAAGACCATGGTAACACTCAATTGATTTGTGCTGCCTCTTCGTAACATATAACCTTGTTATTGTAAACAGCCAAGTATGTCCAACAAATGTGTTTTTGTTTTTATTTCATTGATTAAGACCATAAGGTAACAGTAGGAAGAGACAGCACGAACGAAGTTGTAGTCATGTCCTTCCTTTTGTTTGCAGGAATTAGATCTAGATATCTAACAACTGCAAACCTACACGTGCGTAGATGAAGACTTGTGTTTCAGGTTTTAGCCCCTCCTACCAATTCTTGTCAAAGACTGTACGGTGGGCGTAGTGCTTTAGCACATGCGTTTCACTTATCATAGGGGACGTATGAAACTGGACTTGGCGGAAATTGATAACTGACTTATTATTTCAACATATTCTTTACCTCTGACTGAAGTCTTGTAGAAGGCAAAGCACCGACTGGGCCAGGAGGCGGGGGTGGAGCTGCAGATCTAAACAAAAAAACAAAGAATCAGTTTTAAATTCACAAAAGTAAAGACATAATTAATGTATTAAATTTTGTCACCTAATGCAACTATCTGCACATTTTTTCAAAACGAAAACTTCTCGTTTATTTAATGACTTCTGAATTACTGATTTATTGATAACTTTGTGTACCTTTATGTCGATATAAAAATAAAGTGAAAAGATGGTTATAGGCACGAAACTTTCGAATTAATTCATTTGTCATATGGTACTGCTGTTTGGATATATATGTATATTATTAATGTACAATTATTTGTAGTGCAAATCATTGCTTAAGGCAGATATGTGCAGTCCAATTAGAAATGAAAATTCCAATGCTCGGAAATCGTTTAATCCTGAATTATAACCTTTTGAGGTAATCTGCCTATTAGAAAGTTAATTTATTGCTGTAATTGTCCTGCTAAGATTGTAAATAATTGTTTGTAACAACGTCTGTTTGTGCTAATAAATGTTTATTTATGGTACAGCATTTTTTTTATAAAAATACAAATGGACAGATTTGTAGATAGTGGAACAGTCATCAGATATGTTGTACTAAATTTTTGTCATTTTTTAAAAGAAATTCTTGTTCTTACAATAATATACTTGTCTTTGGACCAAAAGAAAACGTAAGTCACATTCGACTTAAATTAACATTAAATTAACATAAATCTGTAAGAAGATTATTTTGAACATTTTGGATTAAAAGAAATACTTAGTTTCCACGTTTGTCTCAAAACATTGTAACAAAAATTCGATTTGTTTTTACCGAAATCCTTAAAATGAACCAGTTTATTCCTCTCGAAATTCTTTAGATCGTTTTCTCTTTCAGGGGTCAAGGTGATCGAAGCATCATTAGCGGTACCAACTTAACGGTAATGGATATACAAAAAAATGGTATCGCGTTATGTAAATGTATAATGTGACGCTACGATTTATTGCTGGACATTAATTTTGTTTACAGTTGTAAAGAAGTATCTATAACTGCCCGATACAGAGTGTTTTGTGAATAATTACCCCGGAGGAGCAAATTACAATGCAACTACACCTTTAATAGTCATTAGTATTATTAGAATTAATTCTTTGGTGAAAAGAACATAGTGGTAATAAATAAATGGCAAAATTGTGTCCTTACTTCCTAAACAATTAGATAATAATGTCAACAAAAATTATTCAATAGTACAATTTCTTATGTATTTTTAGGTAGAACACTCTGTATGTGGGGATCATTAGAACATGTTCTTATGTTAGAACAAGATACGTACATACTTGGGATTCAAAGAAGAAAGAATAATTTTGTTTCTAACGACGTTATTTAATTATTGTAATACGTTTGGTAATAAACAATAACTGTTTATATAGCTGTCATGACATTCTTCAAAAGAGGTTTTTATTATAAATCAATAAGATTAATAGAAGACACTAAATCATAGATGGAGGCAAATTATAAAGAGAAAATAGTTAAGGAGTTCCTCAAGGATCCAAAACAGGTCCTCTAAATTCTGTGTACAGATTATTCATGTAATGTTTGCCTTTTTTATGTCCTTTAAGGTAAAAATACCTTGTGTTTTCATTAATATGATGGCATATCTTATTACGCCAAAATTAGACGACTTCTCTCTAGTCCCATAACCTAACAAACCAACCGCTAATTTCCGTTTTCCCATTCTGAAGAATTTATTAAATGTTCGTTGCATTCGAAGTGTTGGTTTATACGTTGGGTAGTTTAAAGTTTATTTTGCGATCATTAAATTGTCGTTGGAAGCCGAGCTAGGATAAGACGGGACCGTTGCATTATGGACATCTTGTTCTTGAACGAACTACTATGCGAGACAGTATGTAACTAGGTACCTGCTGTTTCAACGTAAATTTATTTTAATTTCAACGTTAAGTTTTATGGCTACCTAAGCGCTTGCTTGCAGAATACCTGCACCATAAACGACTCCCCAGTTTTAAGAAAGAGCCATTTTTACAGACTTGTCCATTAAAAATGGTCCTATTTATAGTTCAATCATAATATAAATTCTAATTTAAAGGCCTAGTTCGACGTTTAGTATGCAAACCGGCCTTGTGCCATCTAATCACTTTCCAACTATGTTTACAAAAAAAATGAACAAAGTGCACACACATGTGACGAATAAACAGAACGCATGGTGCATTGTAGAAATGCACATGTCCATGGGCACACGGAAAAATTGCCCGTCAATCGTCTTCATCGCAACGTTTAATTTTTAAAGTGACCAAAATAAACACATTTCGACGTTGGACTGGCGCCAAAATTACATCAACAAGTCACTTTTCGTGTTATCGTGCACTGAATATGGCTGATTGAGAAGCAAATAGACTAGATGTCAATTCTCTGCGTTTACTTGCCACCTATTCCTATGTATATTTGAAATAGGGCAATTTCCTGAAAGGAGTTTCCTATATCTTTACATAATAAAAGAGTTCTACACAAAATGTTTATTTCTAAAACTACCAGAACTTCAGAATGTTCAAGAAAATCCTCATTTTTAAAGTATTATATGAATCATCTCCTTCTTTTTTTGCTTATTTGAAAATTGTTGGTCTTCATTTACTGCAATACATTTGAAATACTGCTTGCCCAAAAATTACGACCACCTCAAACTCTTTGTTTTAGAACATTGTTTAAAGTAATATGATTAAAACGTATGTAGTAATTTTTGTTTCAAACACAGGTTTATTCTACAACTGGTTATTCTACTATATTCTAATGAAATTGCACGTTCCTGTGCCAAAAACTAAAAACTTTCATAAGTTTTATTCCCATCAGCTACTAATGCTGCCTGAGTAATCCCTCCAGGTTAAGCTAGAAAGTAGAGCAGATGGCCATCTTCACCTCCTTTTTGGAATCCTGGGAATGGGTGTATGATGGTTCGGGTGAGAAAGGTGACACAGAAGATAGTGATGGGTTGATTATCAGTGGAATATTACCGTGCCAGCATTTTCCTAAGTGATCCAAGAAAACCACAGAAAATCTTGCTACAACCCGGAATCGAACCACTGTCCTTTCGCATGCTAAGCAATTGTCCAAACCTCTAGGCCATTCCAGTCGACAATTGCTAGGGTAACTATATTCCTTTTTAAAATGGTTTGAAGAAGCATGATATTATGACACTACTCAATAGTAAAGAACTTCATTTTATGTTTTGTAGTTTAGAGATAATGCATTCCTATCCAAACTCACTATCCTCTGCTAGGCTGGTTTTTAAAAATGAAGTGTACCTCCACACTCTTACGAAACAACTTGGGATTTGCAGAGATACCGAGTAAACGACCTGAAGGATTGCATTGTTTTTTTTTATCCAGTAATCTTGATACTTGGCCTGCTTGGATAGGTTGTTTTTCCCTGAATATTAATTACATGTCACTTTTATAGAAGATAAGAAAATTTATTCATCAACGAAATGGATTTTTGCCCACGGTTGTTTGGTTGACGACCTCATACTTGATTACAATAAGTAGAAATAATAATTAAATGTTTAATTCATGTTATCAAAGAATCTGGTTAAAAACACCTACCTACTTACTGTCTTGCAGATGAAACAAGTGGCTCTAGGTCAAGCACCTTCTTCCAAATAAACCGATCTGTGGCAGGTCCTTGCTTTATTTTTATCTTTTTCACTTCGTGTAGTGAAAGTCCGATGATGACTTTCCAAACGAATGACCCGAGTCCAGAACATGCATTTATAAAATCAATTTGGAGCAGGCAAATGAATTTATATCTTGCAGTTACGTTGGTGTTTATTTAATGGTCATTTAATAATAAATAAAAAACCACAATTTGTAGTGGTCACTGACAATTAACTGATAATTAAAGAGACGGATATCTATTGAATATATTACAGTAACGTTAAATTAGTTGAAGAGACAAATCGTGACTTACACTTCATAAATTAATTAGTTTGTCACCATTATGTAGATTATTAACCCTTACGATTTTAGAAGGTGTCAGCACATATATAGGCACTTAAGTTACTTAAGTAACATCAATTAATGAAAGATTTTATCGCGATTTCACATACTTTTCTTCAGGATTCCCGAAGGAACAGCACATTATGAAACTTTAGAATGATGAAAAGCTAATGATGTTCGGACAGCAGCGAGGTGGAACACTTTTTATAATATTCATGGCCGATAAAATCGTTCGAATAACGGTTTTAATTGTATCAATAATTGCAATTGCTTCTATGTATGGATGCAAACTGCACAAATGTTATTTTTAAACGACGTTGTGACGTCAAAACAGTTTTTAATAGACGATTTCCGTGCATATTATAGAAGATTTGATGGAAATTTTGCGTTCAAGACCATTTTTCATTGAACCGTGTAATGATAAACAATGTCTACAATGAAAAATAATTTTTGAAGTATTTTAAGGTATGCCCTGCTCCCCCATGTTTCAAACGTGGTGCATATCAAACCACAACAGCAGACCGAGTTACATGAAATTTCATCAGCAAGAGCTCGATCAATGGTTATAATTTTTAACCTGTTAACATGCACATAAATTTCTGATTTTAATTTACAATAGCTTTAAATAATATTGACGACGTAAAGACACTCGCAATCAGATATTGGACAAGTAAGCGATTTTATGACGTGTTGTAATGCCCAATGTCTACAGACTGTGTGTCATTTCGACATAAATACCTTGAATTCAGTTAGCTGCAAATTACAAACTGTACTTCAATTTTATTTTACAATTATTATTTATATTTATAATATTTCCTAATATATTAACATGTATATATATATATAACTACGACATATCTATGCTCTAATAAGTGGGTTTAATCATTCCTGCTGCAGTCACCTTTCGTAACTTAGTGGTCAAAGCATCGGTGCATAAACCGAAATGTCTGGAGTTCGGTTCTCGGCGAGAGTATGACCTATGGAATAAAAAAAAAACTTTTGGGTGTTTCATTCCCACCAGCCAGTAATGCTAGTGGGCGGGTAGTCCCTC